GATCCTGTAAGCTTAGATGAAAACGGAATTTCTTATATACCATTCGACGCGTCGCGAGCTGTTCTACAAAACTGCATATTTGGTTTCTTGGTTCAAGGGGGATCACCAAATCCGCCAGGGTCCTTTCTTTGCTAAACAGAAAACCGTGAACAGGCGGAAGCAAGGTTCAAAGGTTGTACTGTTAGTCGTTCTGTCACACGTCATTGCATAGAAAAGAACAATAGTAAGAAGAGAAGGGAGCAAACAAAACAAGAGGCACAAGTACATACGCAATCGGTTCTCCAGTTCAATGAACAATCATGAATGTCCAATATATCTGGATTAAATAGAAACACGATATTCATTCTGGGATCACACTTGTGAAAGTAAAGAGAGAGAGTTTTCAGGATGCCTCTGGAAAACAAAGTCTTGAGCTTTGAAACGGCAGACTAAAAACTCAACAATATCTCCGGATTGAGCTAGTTTTCCTCCATCTATGGTAAGAATCTTAAGTCTAAATCTGTCATATGCATAGAGAAATCTTAGTCTCAGGTTTGAGTGGTAAAAATTAGTTCTTTGACTGAAGGATGCAAGATTTATCTTTTGAAGAAACCTTAATTTTACAGATTTTTCACGATTAGAGTGCTTAAAGTTCGTTCAAATCAATGGTTTAAGATAAATAGAGTTTTTGACAAAACTTTCTTATAGCCTCTAATAAAGCTTTCATATCTTCGTATTTTGAACAAAAAAAACTAGTGGCTATGCAATCATGTGTAGGCATGTGACAGTTCCATTTCAGCTCATAGAGCTGGAACTGGCCGAAGCAGTTCACGTTCATATGAACTGGAGCTGGTGACCAGTTCAGTTCATTTGAACTTGATTTTATCATCCACTCTTTGGACGTTTTGAGTCATAAATTCTATATAGTCGGTCCCGGCTCGCGAGCTGTAATTTTATTGAACATCACTTTTAAATCTGAACACTGTCGCTCAAGGTGATTTCTAGACTGAGTAACTGCTCAATAACGTTTGAATACTATTGCAAACTTCAGCGTAGAGAAAGTTTTATTACGTTGCCGGATTCTCTACAAATGCGTCATTTGATGACAACTATCGTTAAAAAATTGAAAATGTTTTCAAAGTTCGCTCTTAACGACATTCAAAAGTACTCAGAGATTAATCACAATAGCAGATGTGTAAAGGAAAACGAGTATTTCGTCGATCGCGTTCGATTACATTCAAATGAATTGAACCGGTGGCCATCTCCAGTTCAAAGCTGACGACCAGTTCAGTTCATGTGGACTGGAGCTGATGAACAATTCAGTTCATGTGAACTGGAGCTGGGGACCAGTTCAGTTCATTTGAGCTTGAACTGGGAACCCAGTTCTTCGATTCAGTTCACACGAACTGTTGAACTTGAACTGTCACATGCCTAATCATGTGTATGACACTCGATGTTCAAAGTTTTGAATGCAGTTTCATGAAAACATATGATGGAGAGCACGGCAACATCATATTTTGTTCAGAAATATTTGCTCTACATGATCAAGGTGTTTTCAAAAATATCTTGATCGAATCTAGGGACGTGATTTCATAGGATTATGGTTTTCTAGAGATCCTCGTTGCAGAAGTTCCAGTGGAATTTTTATACATACTACACAAGATCGAAAACCGTTCCAACTACTCAAATCTTTTTTCAGATTTCTAACCATTTTGAATAAAAAACAAATCGTCCCTATTATTTTCACCAGTGCTGCACGACCATTCCACGTAAGAGTCCACCCGAGTGAGCAAAGTCGAAAGCTTTCATTCGGCTACAAACCTCCATGCTTTGTACATGGATCGATAGACCTCAGTGAAGTAGTAAGTACCCTAAAGATTTTCTCCCATGGCTCTTGAAGACCCGTTTTTATGGAAAACCAGTTTTTCAGAAACTCTAAAAAATAGTCAAAACCTTTTCTTAATGAGGCATAATTGTAGCCCGCAGATTTCTGATTAAAATGAGACGTCTCCCAGCTCTACCTGACCTTTCTTTGCAAAAAGTTATAGAATTTACAAGAGAAGTCCTAGATTAATTTCGTCTTATTTCTGTAGCTTTGAGCTGACAATGAATATTTAAGACTTCTCTTGTAAATTCCATAACTTTGCAAAGAAAGGTCATGTAGAGCTGGGAGACGTCTCATTTTAATCAGAAATCTGCGGGCTACAATTATGTCTCATTAAGAAAAGGTTTTGGCTATGTTTTATTGAAATCTGAAGGTGATGCTATTCAGCCAAAAACGTGTAAGTCCATTACGAAGAAATAAGTCCGTTACATTTTTTGCTTTAAAGATTTCTCGATGACCAAGCCGTAGGTTTTCCTCCGGTTTTCACTATAGGGAAGTTCGAAGTCCGAGCTACAAAATCAGCTATTATAATCCCATTGTGAGTCACTCACGCTAGGTGAGACGAAATGCCTGGCGTAACGGACGTGCAAAAAACAGAAGTGAACTTTGAAGTATCCCAGAAAAGTAAAAAGCACTCACGTGAGTGTAGATAGTCGCTGAACTTTTCACTTTTCTGGGATACTTCAAAGTTCACTTCTGTTTTTTGTAAGTCCGTTACGCTAGGCATTTCGTCTCGCCTAGCGTAGCGTTTCAACGAAATCTATTCTTTTTTTCAACGTTGGTAGAGCTAAGTGTCTTCTACAATTCTGTAGTAGAAGCATGCTCTCAAGTTCTTTTGCCTTTGAAGAAAACGTCACGGACAGAAAAAAAGAGTAAGTCCGTTACATTTGGAATAGCCATGTAATTGAAAAAGAAAGAGGTCAATCACTTTTTTAATCTCCACTACCTTTCTTACCGTCTTATAGGTCTTATTTTGTAGAGTAAATTGTCGTCTTTGATATGGCAACCAAATGAGCTCTTAGAGACGCCACTATAAATAGAGATAAGTTACCGAAAATCAGGTAAAAAGTGCCGTTTAGGTCCCTCACTTACTGAGTTATAACTTTTGAAATAAAAATGCTCATGATAGTTTGCTTGACTGTCATATCAAGGACGACAGTTTACTCTACAAAATAAGACATTGCCCAGACCGTTACATCATTTCGTTGCGAGGTTATAATTATTTCAAAACATAATGGACTGACTTTTTTTCGCTGTGTTACGTGGACGCGTGTAATTTCATGTACACAAGAAAACACATTGATTCTACACATATTAGAGAGATTTTACTTGACGTTTATTTCGATTTCTATTATTCTAATTAGTAATCAAATGTTTGTTAAATCCTAATTCAATTAGTCGTTTGCATGCATTCCAAACATTAACAGGAATTTCTTGGTAGATTTGAAAACCTTTCTCTGGATAAATTTTAATTCGTTGTAAATGGCCAACCATAAAATTAATCACGTTTTCCATTGATATTTCATTACAAGGATATTCTTCCAATGATAATCTGGGTGATGTAACGATAATATTTCTGTCTGGCCAGTGTCGTTTAAATGTTGCATAACTTCGTCGTTCCATATATGGTTTTTGTATGACAATAAATGTTTGTGGACTTAATTTGTACTTAATGAGTAATTCTTGCGTAAATACAATATTTTCACCCGTATTTGTTGATTTGTTTTCAATCAATATGGCTGATGATGGAACACCTTTACCGCGAGCAATCTGAGCGAATCGATCGGCTTCCGATTCCAGCCAGTCTTTTGTAAGAACACCAGTTCCACCTGAGAAAATCAGCAATGGTGCCCATCCTTGCAAATACAATTCTGCAGCATATTCAGCTACACGTAGATCATGACTGCCTAACACAAGAATACAATCAGATGTTTCTAATTTATGATTCATGTGATGGTAGTCCCATAGTATTTTGGATAATGAATAAATTTCTGATATATCATTCATTGTATTTTAACATCCAATTAAATAAAAGAATTATATCAAACACTATTAGAAGTACGATGCGCGAATATTTCTAAATCTATGGTAACAATTGTGTCTAATAAGAGTTAGTCAACATACTGAGCATTTGCTACTAAAAAGATATAACAAAAACAACTTTTTCTTATTCCACAAAAGTTTTCTGAGCTTCATCTGAAATGGTCGAACTCTTATTGTTAAAATTATTCAGTAAAATCTTCTTTGCAGAGAAGACTAGAGCAAATCAGAACTATCTGTGTGGTTTTGGTTACTGTAAAATCGTATCTATATTGATCACGATTGATTCCAATCTGTTAGAAAATAGTTATTTATATAGTAGAAAAAGGATTTTTCTATGTTTCAAAAGAAAGAATAGATTCGCATTATTACTGAACTGATCGAAGAAATATTAATTGGCTAATGTATAACTGTATGTAGACGAGAAGAATCAAAAATACAAATAGACGAAACATGCAGAAACGTACTATTATCCGTCCAAGAATGTGATGGCACAGTATGTGAGTATTTTTTGAATAATTTTTGATAGAAAGTAGCTAGAGAGCTCCGATCTACGTTATGCGAAAGAAGAGACTTGGAAGCATGTTTTCACAAGGAAAATGTTATTTTTTACAGAAGAGAACTCGCTAGCTTGTTAAGTTACCGAGAGCCCGATTTCGCCCAGCTGACCTTGTATCATCCTAAAATGGGTCAAGATAAGGGTAATCGACCATGCTGAGCCGTGTGGTGATGTTTACTTTTGGTTTCAAACCGAACTGAAGATACTATATCAAGCTTTTCTAATTCTAGCACTCTGTCGCTATCTTGCGTAAACTGAGTCTGACCAAGTTAGTTTCAATCTGTAAACCTTAATGTAAAACTTCGGCAAGGTCCAGAATATATGATGGTAGAAAATGCAGACCCTCTGCTAGAAATTTAGTCAATAGAGTGACGTTTCCTTGAGGACATAGTGAAAACAACAGATCCCTATAATTATTTGAAAAATGGGAGGGTGCACTGTTTTCCTTTTACGCACAACAGTTCGTTTTTTCCTACTTTTATGATTGCATATCATAAAGTAATAGAAAAATGGCACGTTTTGTTGGCTTTTTCGACTGATTAATGGGCAGCTCGTAAAGAATCGAAAAGAAATTTGTTGAAATCTTTGAAAAAGAACGTTGATCTTTTAAACGGAAATTGCGTTTTTATGGAAATAATAAAGAAACAAACATTACGATCATTTTACTAGGAAATGATTGAATATGGACTGAAGAAGAAAAATAAACATTTATTTCAAACGAATATTTGGAAAGATTGCAAAGATTGTACGTGTTTTGACTGATTGGTATGAGAATAATAAGATTTTTTTATGAAGAACGAAAATAAAGACATCTAATTTAGAATTGATTTAATTGAATACAAACGAAATTTATTCTTTTGAACAGTACAAGTTTCTTATTCCATTTATTGAAGGTCAAGTTAATCAATTGAATGCATTGCACAGTAAATAGCAGCGAGAAGAAAGCAATTTTGATGTGTAGTTGCCTCAATTTGTACGCTTTGCTGTTGAAATCATTCAGCTTTCTGTATAGTAAAGTTAATATTTCTGTTCTGCTATAAATAAGATACTTTGTACTTACATAGAACTTGAGTATTGATATTATTTCGATGACAACTGTTAATGTAACAATGATATTCAATCATTAAGTTGATTTCTTATCATCACTGCTATATGTTGTTGGGTGTATAATAGTCTCTCGAAGAAAATTTTTTGTCCACTACTATATACAATTCTGGATACGCATTATCGGGTGGCCCAGATAAAATCGGATACTTTCATTCGTTGTTATGAGGCATTGTCTGGTAGTCCACAAAGTTGGTTCTAAGCTCAATCGATAGAGAATTGAATTCTCTACAAAATTTGCTATTTGAATCTCTGATAACAGTTTTGTCGTTTGAGCACTAGTCAAATTATTGAAGAGTGCCGAGTTGCGTGACTGCGACAAGCTTTGTCGTCTCCTTTTTTGAGATTTTTAGACCATTATCTGAGGTTCAATAGTTAATTTATCTACGTAGATGGATAGAGAATTTTGTACTCTATCGATCTCACTTCTTTACAACTTCATGCAATGTTTCTGCTACACCAGCTAACTTATAATTAGCTCTCAACCGATTTTTCAATTTTTTCAAAATAAATAAATTTTTTTAATTGATGGTTTCAATTGAGAAACTTTGTTTAAATATAAAACGATGCCGAATTTAAGTCTGCGTAAGAAAATAAGACTAAAACCCTGGATTCATAACATTTTATGCTTTTATAGGCCCAAAACTAAATTCTGTGAAAAATAGGTTCAAAACTTAGGTTTTATTGGATTTGTCAGTTTTTTGCACAGGCAAATTTTCTTTGAAGACTTAACTGTAAAATTTCGAAAAATATGTGAGAAGATGCAGAATTTTCCGGTAAATCTTCTGGTGTTTTCAAAATTCTTTTGAAATCTGTTTTTGGATCAAGACAAATATTTTTCTATTTTCAGTGTGTGGTAGTTAGGCAACTCAGCCCTCTTCAATGTTATGAATAGTGCACAAACGATAAAACTGTTATCAGAGATTCAAATAGCAAGTTTTTTAGAGAATTCAATTCTCTATCGATTGAGCTTAGAACCAGCTCTGTGGACTACCGGACAATGCCTCATGAACAACGAATGAAAGTATCCGATTTTATCTGGGCCACCCGATATTATCCATTGCAAAGTAGAATGACGATGAATGCCTTTTGTACAACTCTTGAAATAAAATGAGACGAAGACCTGTGATTTGCTACAAGCAACAGTCAAAACTTAGACGCTTTTTCCGTCAAAAGGTAAGTTTGAAAATCTGTTTTAAAAGTAATGCATTAAAGGGATATCTACAAAGACCGTTCGTATTTTTACAAGTGAGAGTGGTATCATATCTACCTTTTGACAAGAGTACATAGCTCAAAGTATCTAAACCCGCATTTAATCACTCACAGCATGTAGTAAATCTAGTGCTCCAGATAAGAGAAATTTAAAGTTAAAACATTTCCAAATATATAGAACTGAACAGTGTACTTATGATAATAAAAAATTGATATTTCCAATACTGCTTACTATGAAGGATCGGTCTTAAATCATTGACATGTAATCCATATTCTTGATTAGTTTCTGGATCTTGTAGGAAATAAGTTATTGTTCAGTTTTCGTGATGATTTTTGGCGTTGTGAAAAATCTGTTATCGAATTTCGAACGACTTCCTTGTACTCTGATAAGAGCTGTATGTCATAATGAGGTCTAGTCTTATCGTAGCGCTGTTTCGTTCGATTTTGCTGATTAATAATGTTTTGATTTGCATTTTGATGAATAATTTTGATGCTCTTTTCTAATTGTTGAATAACCATTCGGTTTCTTGAACATTAAGCTTGATAAGTGTTTATCTGTTGGGAGTTGGGTATACGACCAAACTGTAGTTCAAATGGAGAATAATTAGTTGTATGATGTTTACCAGTATTATACGAAAAATCGACGGCGTCGAGGAATTCACCCCAATTATTTTTCTGACGAGCTTGAAGTTTTGTCAGTTATGGTGCAAATGTCACATTAAAAAACGTTCTACGAGGCGATTGATTTGTGGATGGTATAAAGGGTGCACCAGAATTACTAAAACGTTCTCAAATTCTCAGGTTTATCAATTCGTTTGAGGAATTCTGGACCACACTTTATATACCATTGATTATATTACATAGTGCCATTGAACACATCTTCTCTAGGCAACCGCAATTCGCACTATCAAAAAGGTTTTTAGTTACGCTGGCCCCATCATGAAATCACATCGAACTGCGCTGAGCGGAGATTTACTTAAAAGTTTAGTTTTCTTTAGAGTAAATCAGCATATTTTTTAACTTCGGTATTCATATCACTACCAAACATCTATTCTTCAGCATATTCCATCTTTTTATAAATTAACTGCATCATAGAAGTAAAGCATTGTTACATATGTATTCCACACGCCCAAGAATCTATGATATCGTTTAAGTCAAGAGTAGTTTCCACGGTGAAATTTTTCTCGTATTAGATATTTCTTAACGACGAAGAACCATACTATTTTTATTAGAATACAATATACAGCGCAACAGTTTTACGCTTTCTTCACTTTTGTATATTGTAAAGAACTTTTATACATAAAAAAAGAATTTTTTTCCAAAATGTTTTAGTTAACTACAGTTCATCAAAAATGAGAAAACATACTTCCGTGCTTCTTATATTAATAAATTTCGCATAACGGTTAAATGAATCACCAAATTATTCGAGGTAGAAATGATACCACGTGGTCTGGGCATACTGTTCACCTGGACGCAGTATAATGCTGGGAAACTGAGGCTATAGAAACAAGAATACATTCATAGTCCGAAGATGTTTAAAATTTTCTATATTCACCTGATTACTGACACTATCCGTGTAGTTTTGTGCCTCAAGACAAAACGCTTGGTACTTATCATAGACAGCACCGTTACGTCCTTCTACTGCTGTCAGTAGAGTACTAAAGTACAACTGGAGTCCAGCTTGCGATGATTCAACGGAGACAGCTCGGCCTGATTCTGGATGCACAACTCTGAAAATGAATGTGCCAGTAAACTATGAACTGGTATTCTGATCGAACGTGGTTGCTTTACGAGAGAGAAGAATTATGAGATGACTCCGACAGATAGATAAATACGCATATGAATGACGTTAACGTTTGTCCTTGAAATCATTATAGCCAACTATGGTATTGTGATCAGTTTGAGTCAGCAACAGTACCGTTTAGTTGCGCCGGGCGGGCTCAAACGAAGGCTCCTGCTTGTATTTTATAATTTTCTTGGCTTTCTTAAGTACTGAAGCTCATTTTTCGAAAATTTGCCGATTCATTCTCTATAAAAAATGTTTAAGCCCCCATACGGGGGGGCCAACAAGGGTCAAAAATAGGCGTCTACCACGCACAGGAATTCTCATTCTTCGTAAATGATGGAGAGTTCGGACTGTTTTTGTTTTGCAGTAAAGACCTATGGCTAAGAGTCGACAGAGCCCGATTTTTGAATTTCTCATTTACTGATTTCTAATGCTTGATAGAACTTTAAAATTCGAAAAATCCTTGGAAGGTTTCTTAGAAATCCTCATTTCTATAAAACATAGAAGCATAATTTATAAATCGGACCCTGTCAACTCCTACCTATAGGTATTATCTACAAATCAAAAAAACATTTTCTTTTTTACTTAAAAACGGTTTGGGCGTTAAATAATTTGTTGATATTTTGCTATAGGTTATCGGTCACGGTGGATCTAATGAACATGTGCGGCACATGCGAGCACTTATGCAATAAAAGTGCAAAAAAGCCAAATTATTTTGCTGTGGGGCTTCTGGAGAATTCTTTCAGAAGCTATAAAAAACCTATCCTATCGACACAAAAATTATACCATTAGAAAGGAAACACTTTGAGCCATCCAACCATGTGCTTTTCTCAAAATCAATATTATTACCGAAAATCGGCATTTCTGACTCGGGGCGGGCCTTAAAGGTAAAAAATAGAAAAGTAGTTTTTCAGCAAAACAGACTTTTTAACTTATTCTAAAAACAGTTTACAGTCATTTTGTAATCATAAAAATAAATCAAAATATCTTCTTTCACGTGTGCTCTTTTTTATCGAATCAGAGAATAATGTTTAAATAAAGTTGTTCATTTATGAACAATGTTGAAACAATTGCTGATTTGCCATTGTTCGTTCTCCGACCACTAATGGAAACTTTTTGAATTTTAGTGCATGTATACAATATAGAGCAACCATTTATGTACAGAATAATTGAAAACTAGCTGACAACATAAAATTTTGACCAAATTATATGCACTTTTACTGGAAGCCCGGAATTTAGAAAGAAAATACTAATGTATTCTTTTATGATATTTTACCATTACACATGTTTGTACAGAATTTAATGACACAACTTCTGGAAAAAGTGAGCTTTTATAGTACTCACGAGGGACAAGATAAAGAAAATACGAACAGATCATTTTTTATACCCCGTTCATTAGTTGAGTTTTTGAGACGTTATTTTATGCGGTAAATCAGTCTAGACTCTAGACTGATTTACCACATGAAGTAACGTCTCGAAAACTACTCTAGACTCTAGAGGAGGTAGATCCAAAAGTTTCTAAGAAGTGAAGGAAACCAATTGTAGTCGATGTTAATATCAAAGCGATCATTAATAAGGTTAGACCACCATGGATAAGAAGATCGAGAGATATCTTACAAACTCACAGAAATACTACTAACACTGTATTTTCTATTGATTTATTCATGAAAGAAACTCCGATTCTTACTTCCCGAAATATCGGCGTCCTGATCCATCCATTATATACATAATAGCAAGTCCATTGCACACCTTTCCAACTCTTTCACTTATCAGTGTCAATTTACGTAAATCGTAGGGCGTATTGTTCACAGACGAAATACTACCTTAAAATACACATCATTTGCTTTGAACGTTTTTTAACGAGATCAGTACGGTTTTTAGAAGTATTATTCAGTATAACACTTCTAAAACTGTTATCTCACCCGTCGGAATATATTCATCATCGGCGGCAATAAATCGATCAGAATTAACTTCAATTTTATGGTTCAAAATTGTACCGCTATCCTACATGTAGTTCTGCATATGAATCGTGAAAAAACTTACGGAAGACTTACATGTCCTGCAAAATTGAAATAAGTATGATTTGTCATATTAATTGGTGTTGGTGCACTCGTTGTTGCATAATAATCGATTGTCAAGCAGTTGTCATCATCCAAATGATATTTAACTGTTACGTCAACTTGTCCTGGGAAGCCGTCCTCACCTATTTCAGAGACGCCTGTTTTCGTGCGTAACTTGATCTCACAAAGAAAAGCTCACCGTCTGGACTATTGTATTTAAATACAACATTCTCACCGTCTGTATGACTGTTCCAAACACGCTATTTAATAGAAAATTTATTCAAGGCTAACAAGCAATGCATTCGGTATTATAAGATATACTTTATTGAAGGTACCGTGTAGATAATGTTTCTGCATACCGTCTGTTTTTTCTAATTCATACACCTTACCATCTAATTCAAACTTGGCATCTTTTATTCGATTAGTAACACGGCCAACTGTGCAACCAAAATACGCTTTATCATCGATATAGCCTATATATAAACATCAGGCAAAATAAAGGTAGTTCAAAACTATTGTCTGTATAGTACCTTGAAGAGTGTCGTAGCCTAGAGTGACTTCGACTAAAGTATTATTTCTATCTGGTTGACGAATTGATTGTATAGTCGCTCCATAGTCGATCAGACTAACTTCAAGTCCTTTCGGTGATGTAAGCGTATATCTGCAGTCACAACTAATGTTCTTGTCAAACGCATGCAATTCACGAATAGGACTTACTTTTTGACTTTATTTTGATTTTCTGTCACTCCAAACACACTTTCAGCGATTTTAACTACCATGACACGCGTCTGTATAAAGAAAAGAAAGATGACTTTTTGCGTGTATCAATATTCCTTCATGTGATATGAATATTTGTTCGCATCTCGTCATATCTCAACTCATTCTCTTTCTGTGCAAACATAACTTGTCATAATGGAAAACATTATGTGAATTGACTGCATGACTATAACTATAATGTGGAAAAATCATAAAAATGTTTCTTACTGCTGCATTCTTTTTAATCGTATTTGAGATTTTTTGTATACAGTCACCGCTAGTCGAGAAACACTATTTACACATATCTATTTTGCTATAGAAAATTTTTCTCGATAACATGAGAAGAATAGCTCTTCGTTAAAGTTTCATTTATACTTCAATTACGGCATAATCCATGGTATTTTCAATTCATTGCGACTTTACTGAGCGATATTGTGACTCAAATGGTTCGAAACAACTATCGGATGCTTTTAAGCTGTTAGCACTCTCTTTAGATCTGAATCACGACCTGTTAACATTCGGGCTTAGCATGATTAGTAATATATGTGGGTATACTTTTATCTTTGGTATTATACGAATAGCCCAGTCAATAGAACCGTCAGTAGTGGAGGCTCATTACTGTTTACTCAGTAAAGCTACCCATAAGACCGTCTAAAAATTTCTAGTATAGTCTGCTCGACTCAGTTTTTTACGCTGAACCCGAATATGATCTTATATTTAGACTTTGTTGACAAGTGGTACGTAAAATAA